TGGCTCAGAGGCTGGTGTTCCAGCAATGCCCGCCCCGCTGTCCAGTCGGGGTTGGAAAGCCTCGGCTGGTCTGATCTGACACACATCGACTCAGCTGTCCTCACAGCAGCCCTCAGTAGGATGATGCACGTAAAACCATAGCAGGCCCTGCCCGTGTACCGACCCTCCCCAAACAGTTGAGAAAAGGGAGGTTGACCAGAAATCCGCATGAGGGGGCTCGGGTTAAGATTCAGGAGTCCACCTGCCTAACAGCCGGGCGGGACCTCCCTGCTCATGCTGCAGTTTCAGCCAGAGGCTCGGGCGGTGTCCTCCACTTCCACTGTCATGTCCACAGTTCTGCCATGTCCCTGTCACCCGTACCTGCCCTTTTCTTTTTTTTCTTTCTTTCTTTTTTCTTTTTTTAAGAGGTTTTCGCTATAGGGTGCGTACGCTCGCCAGACAGACAGAGAGAGACAGAGAGACAGAAAGCGAGAAATCACCCCCCAGGGGAGATGGTCACGCCGCAATCCCTTCTCCTCCATTCTCCTCTTGGGATCTTGGGCACGCACGCACACGTGCCTGGCGTGAGTTTAAGCCACCAGGTCCGGGACTCGAACTGCAGTCGACTACATGGGAGTCCAGCGACATAGCCGTTATGCTAACTGCTGGTCCCATACAGCCCTTTCTTAATATTGACCTACTCTGGAACTGTAGCTTCCTATCACCAACTTACATGAAAATGAGTGTTGTCATTGAAGATAAAAGATAACTGTAAAGACTAAATGCAATTGAACGTAAGTAACGCTGGAGTCTGGCCAAGGCTCCGAGCCTCCCCCTTGGCGCAAGGGGAGACTTGTATTGCCCTTGGCGGATACAAGGAGCCTCCACCCCCACCTTGAGACCTTCTCCTTGGCCCAGTCAGGACCCGCCACTGCATGTTTCAGGTTATTTTCCATCTGTCTTCATGCCTGCTTTGGGAAATGCTTCCGGCTCTGATTCACAGCCCTGAACTATGGGACGCTGGTCAGGGCAGGGGAGGAAAAACATCTCGTCCCACTCTTCCAAGCTCTTGGTTGGGGCCCCTGAAGATTAATAGGAGAAAAACATATATGTTTATTTAATGATCATTTAAATTTTTTGAAGATTATTTGCTTATTTTGTTCCATGACCAAGAGAGCGAGAGAGAAAGAGAGACAGCACCCCATCAAGGTCTTGAGGCTCCAGTCCTCCCTCACCCAGCCAGCCCTGGCTCAGAGGCACACGCATGTGCGCTGCACTCAGGGAGGTCTCTGGGTGCAAACCTGGAACCCTCCCATGCAGAGCATCAGGGAGACTTGTATTGCCCTTGGCGGATACAAGGAGCCTCCACCCCCACCTTGAGACCTTCTCCTTGGCCCAGTCAGGACCCGCCACTGCATGTTTCAGGTTATTTTCCATCTGTCTTCATGCCTGCTTTGGGAAATGCTTCCGGCTCTGATTCACAGCCCTGAACTATGGGACGCTGGTCAGGGCAGGGGAGGAAAAACATCTCGTCCCACTCTTCCAAGCTCTTGGTTGGGGCCCCTGAAGATTAATAGGAGAAAAACATATATGTTTATTTAATGATCATTTAAATTTTTTGAAGATTATTTGCATATTTTGTTCCATGACCAAGAGAGCGAGAGAGAAAGAGAGACAGCACCCCATCAAGGTCTTGAGGCTCCAGTCCTCCCTCACCCAGCCAGCCCTGGCTCAGAGGCACACGCATGTGCGCTGCACTCAGGGAGGTCTCTGGGTGCAAACCTGGAACCCTCCCATGCAGAGCATCACATTTTACTGCTGTGCCACTGTCTGGCCCCCGAACAGATGTTCTAGGTGACACAGAGCCTTCAGAAGGAGAGGGAGCCGTTAAATCCACATGCTCTTATGCCGGGTTGAATGAAGAGTGGAAAGTTGTGGAGAAGAGGACAGGAGGGCGCAAGCCAAGGTAGCGAATGGGGCTCAACCACGGCCGTTGGTCAGTTTCCTCTCTGTGTCCCCACGCCTTCAGAGTTAGGGATGCCCTCTCCCATGGCACCGCAGGGCACCTCTCCCATAAGGTCTTACGCACTGCTTCAGGGCCCGAGTCCTTCAGTGCCTGCGGATTCTCACAGCTCTCCAGCTTGACAGCACCCCAGGTGCAGACACCAAGGTGCCATGTTTGGGGTAGTGTGCCCTGAACCCCACTGTTGGCTACGGCATCTGGGGCTCCATTCGAGGCAAAACTTGGCCCTGAGACAGCGACACTGCATTCTGCGGGGGCCACAGCCTCGAGAGCCCTAAGGCAGGGACCTGGGACCCAGACCACCCAGAGCAGCCACTCCTAACAACCACCCACCTGAGCCCCCTGCACCCCTGCACCCCACTGCCTCCCTCGGTTCCGAATCATCCTCTTACATCTGCTGGAACTTACATATCAGGGGTCTCAGCAAGAGCCTAGGGAGGCAAGACAGGTGGATCAGGGTCGGTTTACAGGCGTCACCAACAGAGGGACATGAGGAAGAGGCCAGCTTGCCCCCAGTCAGGGCCCTAAGGAACGTCGCAGCTCTAAGTCCATTCCTTCCCAGCCCCCAGAAGCCCCGAAAGGTCAGACTGGGGGAGCCGAGGCCCAGCCTCACTCTCCTTCCTCCCCCACTCTCCCTCTGGTGCCCCCATGGGCCAAAGGCGAAGGGAAGCAAAGAGTCCCTAGTGCAGCTCCCCGGGGGGTCCCAGCTCCAGGGCAAGGAGAAGCCAGAGGGGCCCAGAGTGGACACAGCAGCTCCCCCACGTAGATGTCCTAACCCAAGGCACGCTTGGGGCGCCTCAGCTCCCAGGCCCTCCAGGTCCTTACCCTGCCTGTTCTCTGGCACAGAAAAACTGAAAGAGAACAGCCCTGGATTTTGTTTTCAAAATGAGTACAGTGTTTACAGCCATTAGTAAGCGATTAGGACCCAGCTGGGCTGGCCAGGCCAGACCTGGGACACGCCTCCAGATAGACCCAGGACTGAGGTCAATCAGGAAGCACTGGACCTCCCCCAGTGACCATGCCTGAGGATCTGACCTGTCTGTGTGACTGGCATTGTCCATGTGGAAATGGGGGACGGGGTACACAGGGGGGCTGAGGTGCCTAAGTGGGACAGTTCAGCCAGAGAGTGCACCTCTGGGGACAAGGAGAGCATGTCTGGCTCTTTCCCACTGAATCACCAGCCCTGGACACACACTTGATAGTGTTTTTAAAGAATGAGTGATTTCAGGGTCAGCAGGTGGTATGGTGGCTAAAGGGGATGAAGTCCCACTTGGTTGACTATGGTTCGAAGCCCAGATCTGGCACCTTGCTTTCTCACTTTCCCTTTCTCTCGGTTTCTGTCTGGTAAAATTAAAAAATAGTAATAACAAATGAAAGTAAGTAAATAAATAATTATTTTTTAAAAAATGAATGAGTGATTTGGGCCAGCTGACTGGTCCAGGTTTAAGTCCTGGACCCAGTGGCTTGAAAAACACACCAGGCATGTGAGCATGTGTGCCCAAAGTCCTGAAAGGAAGAAGAAAGGGGGAGAGTGGATTGCGGTGTGACCATGCCCATGGGGGTGCTTCCTCACCCTCTCCCGCCACCTGCCTCTCTCCACCAAGTGAAGTCCTCTGGCAATTTTTTTTTTAAATGATGACTCGGACTCTTGCCCTCCGACCCCCAGTAGAATTTCCTCAACCTGAGCCAGGTGGGCCTTCAGAGTCTTTCTTCCTTTCCCCACGGCCCCTCCTCCGTGAAGGAGCAGGACTTTGCTGTCCACTGCGTCGCTGGCAAGCTCCCAGTCGTGTTTGCAGCTCGGCACTCATGAGTGCCTCCTGTGCTCACTGACCGCTCTCGCCTGGTTTCTGCCCCCAACCGACCAGCCTTTCTTCGCCCGCTGTGTCCAAACCCCCTCCACTGCTGCCTGGTCTCCATTCCCACGCCTGCATAGCACAGCTGGGCTTCTGGTGCTCATGCAAACTCTCCTAGCCGAGGAGTGGCCGAAAGGGGTCAAGGGGACCTGCCGCTATGCCATGCACATATGTGTGCGTACATACATGCACACACACACATATGCGTATGCACACGTGCACACACTATAGCTTTTCACACCCTTCCTAGAGAGAAGTATGAGGCCTATGGGATCCTGGAGAGATCATCAGGTCTGGAAATAGCAGGGGGCTTCGGCCGAACCTCCACATCGTCCCAGCACTGGGATTTAGACGAGCCGCCCCAGCTCCCTGCACCTGGCTCCTCCTTTGCAAGGCAGGGACATGGCTGATGCCTACCTTCCCGCTGAGAGTGAGGGAACAGGAGGAATACAGACAGGTGTTGTCTGCGGGAACCCATGGTGCAGAGAGGCTCACACCTTCCTGCCAACAGCTCATGGAGGCCCAAGGTTGAGCTTGGGACCTCTTTGAATTGTTGCCCCCAGGAAAGGTTGCACATACTCAACTGTAGCCATCTCCCTCACCAAGCTCAAAGCATCACGAGACTTTGTGTCTAGTTCATGTCCAGCCCAGACCCCTCCCCTGAGCTCCAGACCCAGGCTGGACCCAGCAGCCACTCCCAACCAGACCTGAAGCCCTCAGGAGAAACTCACATTCAACAGAGTCCAGGCTAAAGGCAGGTTCGTCCTTCTCCAAATCTGCCCTCCCTCTCTCTCCCTTTGTAGGCGGTGGCAGTATCTGGGGATCATTCTGACACCGTCCTCACCCTCGTCCCCAGCCCTTCCCTGTCCAAGCTGGCATGCCAGTTTTACCCAGACACCCTGGAACCCATCCTTGTCAGCCTTCGCCAGCCCATGCCTACACTACGCTGTCCCCCGGCAGCAGCAGGCCTGGCACACTCAGGGAGCTGACGCCTGCCCCAGGGCCTTTGTGCCTGCCCGTGGTCCAGGCGTCCTCCTCACCACCGTCCTGTCACCCTGTTTGTCCCTGCTCACACTCGGTCATCATCAACATCCGCTTGCCCTCCCAGGCTAGTTCAGGACCCCAGGTCCCACACTGCCCGGGAACTTTCATTTGGTTGCAGTTATTCAGTGACTGAGTGACAGTGGCTTCTCCACTGGACCACAGGCTCCTGGAGGATGGACACTACCTGCTCTCACCGTCTGTCCCTAGCACCCAGCATGTCATAAACACTTTGTAAAAGTGTGTCAAGTGAAGGGCCCAGCAGGCCCCACTTCCCTCCCCTAGAGGAGAACGCGTGTGTTAGATGGGCCGCCAGCACCCACCTAACCGTCTTCTCTCCTCCAGACGGCCTCACTCACTTCCTGCTCTGAGTCTGTGTTCTCTGCCTGGAAGACACCCATGTTCCTGTCTGTTCACAAGGACTCTGTGTCCACCACAGGCCCTTTCAGGTGAGTAGGGGCGGGGTTCCTCAACTTACTATTTGGGGGCTACAGGGCAGACACCCTGCAGAAGTCCCAGACAGCTCGGCCCTCATGTCCCAGACAACAGCAATGCTAAGCCTAAAGACAAAAACTCTGAAGGGTTCAAATGTCTGTCAGGAACAGAGGGGTCGTGGGGAGGAGGAGAAGGAAAAGGACACATTCTTGACTGTCAAGTGGCCCATCCGGACATTGGAAATCAGGGCAGGGAGTTAAACCCGGACACCAACACCCAGTGAATCAGACCCCAGTTTCCTCGGAGACAAATGTCTACAACACATGGCTGGTGGGAGACCAGAATGCTCTAAAGAGAACAACAGGGGGGATCTGGCCCAGAGGGAAGCAGAGGAAAGGGAGGTCGGTCCTGAGGGGCCAGTGTTGGCGAGACGCAGGGCAGAGGGGCCGACCTCCTGGCTTTGCAGCACGTGTGGCCCGCAGTAAGGATGGCCAGATGACCATCTCGGCTGGGGCCACCTAGCCCTGGCACCGCACGGCTCCAGTTCTGCCCTAACCAGATGACCCCGTGGCTTCTCAGAGCCAGCTCTGGGCCGGGGCATCATCACTGGCCACAGCTACCTTGCCAAGACATGAATGAGCGGGGCCTGTGTTCCACTTCGGTGTCTAGTGAGCTAGCTTCAGAGACAATCAGCTCCCCACACTGGGGGCAACGAGGAAAGAGGGTTTCCATGCCCCAGAAATGGGGCCAAGGGTTGGGCTGAGGGGACTGCCCAGGGGAAGCCTTACTTTGAGAAGACTCTGGAAAGGAGTCCATCGACTTCCACCTGGTTTCTGTCCGCCGACCAGCCCTTCTTC